AGCAGCGGCGCCCCGCCGAGAGCTCTTTGGCCCTGGCGCCCGCATCGCGCCCCGGACGGGCGCTGGAGGTCCGCCTGGTGTTAAGTCGGGCCGGTCCCTCTACAGGGGGAAAATTCAAAAATAGTCCAAAAAGGTTCTGGGGGCGAGTTTTCGACTATTTTTGACCATGTGGGCGTATTTTTATGATTTTTTCTATTCTTCGCCCAGAATCCTCCTGTAGGGGGACAGGCCCGACTTAAGCCTGGTGGCCCGAGGGCCAGCAGGTTGGGCGGGAGCCCCCGGCCTCTCCGAGAGGTCTGGCCAGGGGGAAGCGCCTCTTGCCTTGCCCTTGCCCTGCCTTCGAGGATGGCGCCTTGCCCTGCCTCGCCTCGCCCCGCCGAGGCGCTCCGGGGATGGCCCCTTGCCTGCGAGGAGCGAGGTCGTTTGCCCCCCCTCCCCCCCCTCCTCTCTCTCTCTCGGCGGAAGGGCGGCGGAGGGTCGCCCTGCCGAGGCGCTCCCCGAGTTGAGCCCTTGCCATGCGAGGAGCGTGGTCGTTTGGCCCCCCCCCCCCCCCACTCTAGTCGCGGAGGTACGAGTCGGCGAGGGTGTCAACGGTTCGAGGGAAGGAGTCGGGGAGTAGTCACGGGGACGGCCCGCGGGGCGGAAGGCTGGCCTCCTCATCCTCCGCCGCCTCCTCTCTCCTCCTCCTCCTCCTCCTCCTCCTCCTCCGCCTCCTCCTCCGCCTCCTCCTCCTCCTCCTCCTCCTCCTCCTCCTCCTCCTCGGGTCGCCTATAGGCCACGGGGGAAACCGTGCAGCGCTGGGCGGGCCTGCGGGCGTGCTGCGCCCGGTGGGCGGCCGTGAGCGCCCCGTGCGCCGGGTGGCGCTGCCGAGGTCTCGCCTGGTGGGCGGCCGGGGGGCGCCTCGTGGGCACCCCACGTCCTCCTGGGGGTCGAGGAAGGAGGAGGGGGAGGAGGAGGAGGAGGAGGAGGAGGTGGAGGGAGAGAGGTGGGGGAGGAGGAGGAGGCGGAGAGGAGTAGGAGGCGGAGGAGGAGGAGGGGGAGGGGCGGAGGAGGTGGAGGAGGATGAGTGAGGAGGAGGAGGAGGAAGGAGGAGGGGGGGAGGAGGAGGAGGTGGAGGAGGAGGAGGTGGGGAGGAGGAGGAGGACGGAGGGGAGGAGGGAGGAGGAGGAGGAGGAGGCGGCCGGGGGGCGCCTCGCGGGCACCCCGCGCAGCCTGCAGGGCAGCGGCGCCGGCCGAGGGGAGCCAGGGCACTGGGGGGCCGCGGCGCGGCCGGCCGCGTCCCCAGACCCCCGATCGGGCAGTGAAGAGATCATGTCGGGAGGTGTTTCCGTGTTTTCGGCCTCTGGAGGCCCTCACCGGCCCTCGGGGCCGTCAAAAAACGACTCAGGATGAAAAACTGGTCCCGGGGAATGGGTCGAGACTTCTCAGGGTCGACGTTCTGAAAAGATCTGGACGTCGGGGGTCTGGGTCTGGGCGCCCCCTTGAGCCCCAGGGTTCCCAGGATACGGCCTGACCCAAAGGGCTACGGACAGATTGCATCGCCTGTCCTGTGTCATGTGGGTTGCGCCACGTGCAGCTCGCATCATACAGCTTGCACGACATGGCTTGCACGGCATAGCTCGCATCACCAAGCTTGCACTGCATAGCTTGCACCACACTGGTTGGATCGCATGAGTTGCACTGCGTAGCTTGCTCCACGTAGCTTGGTCCACATCTATTGCATCACGCTGCTTCCACCACGTAACTTTACCACATGAAACGTCCACCACAGATCTTACACGACACAGCTTATACCACAACGCTCTCATTACGCATATCACCCCACTTTGATTACATTACGTAGGCTGCACCGCATATAGCTCACCACACCATTTTCACAGCATCTATGGCACCGCCAGGCTTATGCCACATAGCTTGCGCCACATACTACATTACTTACACGACATAACGTGCACTACATGGCTTACTCATCCACAGTGCATCCGCAATGCAGAAACTTACAGTTCGGTGTCCACGCTTGCAGACACGGTAAGTCCCACGGTTTCAAGTGTTTCCTACATATCTTACTGGTTCGGCGGCGACCCCAGAAACGAGGGTCGCAAGGCACTCCATGGGTTTTGAAAGGCAAGCATCCCGAGCCAATGGCACGCACGTGTCATGACACTGTTCTCGCCCCGAGACCGGCCTGATACGCGCTGACGCGCATACCCGTGCGCGCGGAAGCTTGCATCGGACTGGCCTCCCCCGCCTCCTCGAGGAGGCGGGGGAGGCCAGTCCGATGGAGATCGTCGTCGTCGATGGTGATTTTTCCACGACGAGATCGTCGTGGAAAAATCACGACGGACTGTTTTGGCAGGTGTCGGCCTCGGGAGACCGTGTCGCGGCCCTGGGGCCGCTGGAGGCCGGCCCGGGAGGAGAAGCCAGCCCACGGGAAGCGGGCTCGAGATCTCCGGGAGCCCGCGCCGCGAACAACAATTGTACTCCAGATTTCGTAGTAAAAGGGGGGGGGTCTGGACCCTCCAAGACAAGCCATTTCAGACCTCCCCCGTGGGAGAACCCTCCAAAGCACCGTCCCCAGACCCCCCCCAGGCCCTCCAAGATAGCCTGGAAGAGACCCCCCCCCCCCCGAAATGAGACCCCCCTCCCTTTCTTACGAAATCTGGCATACCAATGCTATGTGTGCGCCGCCTCCCCCCCAGTGGCGACGCGCGGACCGAGAAACCCTATCGGATGTGCTTCGTGGCGGGCGCTCTCTGGCCGTGCCGCTCGGGAAACGAGCTGCTACAATGTGGTGGTACTCTGTGTTCGGTTCGGTCGCGCGCCTCCGAGGAGGACACGCAGTGCTGGTATGTCTTTATATGCGTCCCATGTTGAGGCCGCCCTGGACCAGACTCGGGGGCCCTGCTGAGGCCAGGCGGGTCTGCCTCGGGGGGCTGTCCTGTGCGCAGCCCCGAGCCTGACCAGTCTGTGCGCCACTTACCCCCCTGTGTCAGTATCGTTTAACCGGCCTCTATCCCCATCCCCATCCCCATCCCCATCCGCAGCATCCCACCACCCCAGGTGGGGATATGCACATCGAAACTTGAAGAGAGCAGGCTATATCCCCCCATCTAGGGAGGTAAATCGGCCAGTGGGGCCCAGGCCACGTCGGTGGGGCTAGGGATCGGTTAGGCGATGCTCGTTGTGCGCGCCGCCAGGATCATCAAAAGGAAGGCTCCAAACTCCACGCTGGAGGCGCGTCTACGGGGGGGATAGGCACAGGGGGGGGATGCATCGACCCCCAACGGCCCATGGATCGCCGATCGGGGCCAGATAGCCCCAACCCGCCCAGGAAGACGCGGATTCACTATCGGGGGCCTATCGCCGATCTATCGGCGATGTATCGCAGATTCCAGGTCAATGCATCCCCCCCTATGCCAGTCCCCCCCAATCGTTGCCCCCCAATCAATCCGTTCCAGCGCGTTCCGGAACGCTCTGAGAAGGCCACGGTCGGGGCCTAAGAGACGGGGGTCAGTGCAAACGGGGGTCAGCCAGGGCACCGGATCCTGCAGGATCCTGCGAAGACCCTCTCTGGCTGACCCGGGTTAGCGAGCCGCTCGTGGCCTCGAGGCGGCCGCGCATATTGGTTGACCCGGGTCTGCGAAGACCTGCGTTGCAGTTTGTTTTCCCCTGCATGGCAGTTTTTGGGTTTCCTGCTGGACCCGGGTCTGGATTGACCCGGGTCAGAAGATCCCCGACACGGCGCCGGAGGCATCTTCCAGATCCGCTGGACCTCGGAGATTCTCGGCTTTGCCCCATGCCAGATGCTGCCCTCGTCCCGCCTCCGTCTTCTGGGGACACTGCGGGAACCGGCGGGGCCGGCCGAAGACCTCGGGCCCCAGAGGGCGGGGGATGGGGCGGCTTCTCCAGCCTCCCTCCTGGAGGTTCGGGTGCTGCCAGAAGTGCCCCTGGTCCGAGGTGCCCCCAGCTTTTCGCTCCATTTTGGAGGCTCGGAGTTGCCAGACGAAACACTTAAATCTGTACCGCATGACTTTGCCTGAGGGAAAAAAAAATGGGCCTCGTGAGGGGTGCCCTGGAGGCCGCCTGGGCCACCCCGAGGCTCCTGGGGGTTACCCTTGGGCCAGGGGCACTCCTGGCAGCGCCCGAGAGGTCCCCCACGACGCCTCCGATCCCGTGGAGCTGGGCGCAGCTGGACCCGGACGCGCCGCGCGGCGCCGAGGCCGACCCGGGCCTCCCCGGCGGCCCGGGCCCGCTGCACGCCGTGCCGAGCATGACCCTCTCGCTGATGAGCCCGCGGATGGCGTCCGCCGAGGCCCGGCGGCGGCGGCGGCGGCGTCGACCTCTTCCGTGCGGTCCCACACCTCCGGCGGGATGTCTTGTTCCATCGCGCCTCTTGTGTTTCGTGTTAGTGTTGTGTTGTGTTACGTGTGTGTGTGTGTGTGTGTGTGTCTGTGTGTGTGTGTCTGTGTGTGTCTGTGTGTGTGTCTGTGTGTGTCTGTGTGTGTCTGTCTGTTATTGTTGTGGTTGTGGTTGTGATTGTTGTGGTTGTGGTTGTGGTTGTCGTTGTGGTTGTTGTTGATGTTGTTGTCGTTGCTGTGGTTGTTGTGGTTGTGGTTGTCGTTGCTGTGGTTGTTGTGGTTGTGGTTGTCGTTGTTGTGGTTGTTGTTGTTGTTGTTGTTGTTGTTGTTGTTGTTGTTGTTGTTGTTGTTGTTGTTGTTGTTTTGTTGTTGTTGTTGTTGCTGTTGTTGTTGTTGCTGTTGTTGTTGTTGTTGTTGTTGTTGGTGTTGTTGTTGTTGTTGTTGTTGTTGTTGTTGTTGTTGTTGTTGTTGTTGTTGTTGTTGTTGTTGTTTTTGTTGTTGTTGTTGTTGTTGTTGCTGTTGTTGTTGTTGTTGTTGTTGTTGTTGTTGTGGTGGTGGTGGTGGTGGTGGTTGTTGTTGTGGTTGTTGTTGTTGTCGTCGTTGTTGTCGTTGTTGTCGTTGTTTTTTTGTTGTTTGGCAGTGTGTGCTCTGTTTTTGTTGCCAGAGACAGGGCTGATGCTTCCGGGGCCCATTCTCCAGCCCTGCCAGGGCTGCAACCGCACTGCGCACGCGCAGCAGTTCCTCCGAGAACTGACAAGGCCATCCGGCTGCGCCAGAGCGCATTGAACCACTGGCGTCGAGCCAGCGCGCGACACCGCGTATGCCGACGCTCGGGCGGCACCGCTGGAACAGCGCACCCCCCCGTGGCACGAGCCAGGAGCCAGAGTCCTGACCCCCGAGTGCTTGGCATCGCTCGGGCGTGTGCATGTTTTTCTCGGCGGGAACCATCGAGGACAATCCTGGACCATCGAGCAAAACAAAAATAACACGCACGAAACCGAAACGTGCACGGGAGGTGGACGTCCGAGCGACGGCAAGAGTGAGCCCCGACGACTTGGGGCTCCGACCTGGGGCCAGCGAAGGCGGATTCGCGGCGAAGCGTGCTGCCCCAGGGGACGGGGTCGGGAGCCTCGGGCCGCGGAGGGAGAAGTCGCGTCGGCGGACGCTTGGGGAGGTTCTCGATGTTCGAACTTTTTCGTCGCTCCCCTTCTTCTGAACTCTTTTCGGACTTTGCCAAACTTTTCTTGAACTTTTCGATCTTTTATTCGATTTTCATTTTTTTATAACTTTTCGGTCGCTTCCCTTTATTTTCCGCGGGGGCTCCCCGGCCACCACCGTGTCAATGTTGAGCTGCACTGTCAATGCCTCGCTCTCCTGGGGCTCTGCTGTTTTCTTGCTCGTTAACTAGTGTCACGTGTGCGGAGCTACACTGTCAATGCCGCGCTTTCCTGTGGCTTTGCTTCGCTCCTGCTCGCAACGCGCACCGCCAGAGGCGGCGGAGAGCTTGAGAGATCCATCCACAAAAAGTTGTTTCCCAGCCTCTCGGTGCTCTCCAGACGCTCCGCCTCGCCGAGAGCGTCCTGCGGGCGCCAGGATCGCCCCAGACTTCGGATGCAGCTCCTGGGAGGTCAGATTATGATTTTGCCCTGGTCCGAAGTCCGGCTTCGTCTGGTTTAATCCCGCTTCATCCGGATGCATCCCGCTTAAAGCGAGTAGGGGATCGATTACAGAATCGATTTACCGCAGATTTTGTCGTCGACTGAAGTCTTTGTTTTAGATTCGATGAGGAATCCAGTTGGGGGTAAATCAAGTATGTTGTCGATTTACTACTCGATTAATCCGGCATGTTCCCGCTTAATCCGCGGCCGAATCCGGCGTAGCAGCCCCCCCAATGAGGCTTAATCCTTCTTCGTCCCTCCGACGAATACCTCCCAGTAGTTGCTTCCCGGCCGAACGACCGCCGGAGACACAAGCTGTGGCCCTACACAGCGGGACCTCCCAGACATGCGACGCCCTAATTTGTCCAATACGCTGTCCCTGGAAGTCCCGCCCCTTTCCCTATAGGACCAGTTTTCATCCTGAATCGTTTCTTGACGGTCCCGGGGCCCGGCGAGGGTCTCCAGCGGCCGATCAAGAGGCCTCGAGGAGAAGGAGGGGGAGGACGAGGAGGAAGAGGGGGGGGGAGGAGGAGGAGGAAGGAGGAGAGGAGGGGAGGAGGAAGGAGGAGGAGGAGGAGGAGGAGGAGGAGAGGAGGAGGAGGAGGAGGAGGAGGAGGGAGGAGGAGGAGGAGGAGGAGTAGGAGGAGGAGGTGAGGAGGTGGAGGAGGAGGAGGAGGAAGGAGGTGGAGGAGGAGGAGGTGAGAGGAGGAGAGGAGGAGGAGGAGGAGGAGGGAGTGATAAGGAGGAGTAGTGAGGAGGAGGAGGAGGAGGTGTGGAGGAGAGAGAGGAGGAGAGGGAGGGGGAGGAGAGGGGGGGGAAGATGATGGAGGAGGAGGAGGAGGAGGAGGAGGAGGAGGGAGGAGGGGGAAAGGAAGGAGGATAGGAGGAGGAGAGAGTGAGAAGGAGGAGGAGGAGAAGGATGAGGAGGAGGAGGACGAGGAGGAGGAGGAGGAGGAGGGGGAGGAGGAGGCTTTACGACGCGAGCATGTCTGGGCTCCTCTCGTTGCGAAGAAGCCCGCGGCTCCGGCGACGGGCCCTCCTCCGTGAGAGGGGCCCCGCGGACGCCGTCCGCCGGGGCCCCTGCCGCGGCGGCGGCGGCGGCGGTCGGCCCTCTCGATGGTGAGGCCCCCCGAGGGACGGCTCGCCGAGGTCCTGCGGCAGCGGCGACCACGCCCACACCCAGACCCACACCCACACCCACACCCAGCCCCACACCCACACCCACACCCACTCCCAAACCCACACCCACACCCACACCCAGCCCCACACCCAGACCCCCACCCACACCCAGCCCCACACCCAGACCCCCGCCCACACTCCGACCCACACCCACACCCCCACCCGCGCCCGCGCCCGCGCCCGCGCCCACGCCGCGCCCGCGCCCGCGCCCGCGCCTGCGCCCACGCCGCGCCCACGCCCGCGCCCGCACCCGCGCCCGCGCCAACGCCCCCGCCCGCGCCCACGCGTACGCGCACGCGCACGCCCACGCCCACGCCCACGGCGGTTGTTCCAGGCAGGGGTTAAGACGTCCGGGTCTTCGGGGGGAGCTCGCGGCGAAAGGAGGTGTGTTCCAGGCTCTGCAGAGACCTCCATCCCAGAAGATCCTTTGCTGCAAATTTTGGCTCAGTGCATTCTTCTCGTTCTCCTCTCTTTTTCTTTCCTCTTCTGCTCCGTACACTCTTGGCTCACCGATTTCGGCCGGCTTGGCTTCTCTTCCGAATGCCACAGTCGCTGGCTGCGCCGGGCCAGAGGCCCAAAGGCGCCGCCCTCCCGGGCGGACTGCATCCGCTCGCTCGCTCCATCCCAGGAGATCTGGGCTGACTGTTGGCTTGGTCGGCGCAGGCAGCACATCGGTGATTCCAGTGGCTGTGGGTGTCACGAGAAGATCTTCCCACGTCCTCCGTCCCGCTTCCTGTGAAGCAGCTCCCTCCTGTCGCACCACCTCGCCCGAGTGGCCGGCCCAGCGGGCGCCCGTCATTCGAAGGAGGGGGCGCACCTGGCAGTACTTGTATGGACATATGTTGGGGGCCGCGTCATGGGGGGTCGTCGTCGTCGTCGTCGTCGTCGTCGTCGTCGTCGTCGTCGTCGTCGTCGTCGTCGTCGTCGTCGTCGTCGTCGGCGTCGCCTCTCTGGCCAGTGGGTCGTGGTGTATAGCGCAACTGGGGGGCAGCGGGGGCTGCAGACAAGGGGCCACTCAGGGCCCCCAAGAGGGCCCCCAAGAGGGCCCACGAGGGGGCCCGTGGGGCCCGAAGAGCGCACCTTTCTCCCCCCCCCCTGCATGGATCGCACCCCCCATGCAGCCACGCCCAAATCGGGCGGGAGGCTTGGGGCGGGAGGGTGTGCTGCAGCAGCGTCGGCGCATCCTGGGTTTGCGCTGGAGCGCGCCTCCTCGATCCGGAGCGCTCGAGCCTCCCTTCTTGGGAGGGGGGGGCGGGCCCTCCGGAGGACGGCCTGGTCGAGAGCAAGGCCCCGACTCTCCAGGCTTACCCTGAAGTCGGGCCCGTCCCTCTGCAGGAGGAATATTCAAAAACAGCCAACAAATAATACGGGGACGACTTTTTGGCTACTTTTTGGGCATTTTGGAGTATTCTTTTACTATTTTGGCCATCTTGGGGACATGCCCGACCTAAGCTTACCCCCTCCACTCGCAGGAGAAAGCCCTGGAGCCTCCTGCTCCTTCTGCCCAGAACGCTGACGGCGTGTTTTCTTGTTTTTGTTTTGTTTGTTCGGCACCTGGACCCCCAAAGAACTGCACCCCTTACCCGGGACCAGGCTCTCGTCCCGCGCCGTCTTTTGCTAGCCCTGGGGGCCGGTGAGGGCCCCGATATGGGGCGCTCCAAATAGGGCCTTGCCTTCGAGGATCGAAGGAGTCGTCATCTCTTCCTCGGCGGAAGGCGGCGGAAGGGCGGTGGAAGGTCGGCGGAAGCAGAACGGCGGCGGCACCGCTGGCGGAAGCCGGCGGAAGGCCGGCGGAAGGCGACGGACGTGGAAGATGCGCCCCCAAGAGATGAAAGCGTTTTGGGGTTCAGGGTTTCCGGAGTCCGCCACAGGAGGCCAGGCACTGCAAGCAGCCCGCCGCTGCGATTTTCCCGTCGCGGGCACCCGGTCGGGGGTCCTCCCCGTCCATCCTTCCCTCCCCTCTTCGTTCTTCTGCCCTCTCCCTGCCACCCGGCCCCGGGTCTTGGTCCTGGGGCCGACGGCCCGGGGTGCCTTTCCCCGGGTCGCCCGGCCCATGCCCAGGGTCTCGACCCCCATTCGTTCTTAATTTAGGTTAAATAACCTGCAAAATTTTGCAA